CAGGAATGATCGTCAGGGTATTGGCAGTATAAGTAGCGGTAAACGGAACGACTGCACCCTGCCTGTTATTCAGGCGCAGCTCCACCAGTGAAGCTGCATTCGTATTGGTGATCGGGTTATCATTAACGAGGCGTACCGGCTCATTAAATGTAATGGTCGGGCGAATAGCGATGGCTACGTTCTGAGCCTGGTTGGCCGGGCTGAAAACCGCAACCGGCGGCACATTATCGGTGCCGCTAACCGGGTAAGCATCCAGGGTAAAATTATCAAAACGGTTATTGCCCACAGTACCACCTGTACCCTGGGCAAAGCTTACCCGGAGTTTCAGATTGGCATTATTATTGGCAGCTGTAATAGCAGTCAGATCTAGTGTTTGCAGCACAGGGTCACCATCTATCGGCCGGATCGTATCATAAGGCACATAGGTTGTCCCGTCCGTAGTATAAGACCAGTATTGTAAGCCGGCTCCGGAACCGGAACGGCGTGTGGTGAACTTAACCGTCACATCTTTATAACCGGTAGTAGGCAGGGAGAAAACCAGGGCACCACCGATCGGATCATTGAAACGCAAATGGGTACCCGGCAGATCTCCGTTACGGGCATTCAGGTTACTGACATTAAAGTTCTGACCGGTACCACCCGCAGCATCAATGGCGCTGATACCTCCGGCAACGGCTGTGATCGCGGCCCCCGTTACTACAGAATGGCTTGGCGCCAACAGGCTGCTAACAGTTGTGTTGCTATTAAAATTCCAGTAGTGCACCAGGGCCTGTACCGCCAGCGGACTGGCATCCAGGGTAAAATTATCGAAACGGTTATTGCCAACGGTACCACCGGCACCAGCGGCAAAACTTACTTTAATCTTAAAGTTGGCATTATTATCAGTGGCACTCACTGCGCTGAAATCAAGGGTTTCCAGCAGGGGATCGCCGTTATTGGCCTGGATGGTATCAAACGGAATATAAACGGTACCGTTTGTTGTATAAGACCAGTATTGCACACCGGCACCTGACCCCGACCTGCGACTTGCAAAACGCACAATGGCATCCTGGAAGCCGGTAGTTGGCAAAGCAAATACCAGCTCACCACCAATCGGGTCGTTAAACCGGAGATGCGTACCGGAGGCGTCTCCGTTACGGGCGTTGAGGTTACTTATATTAAAGTTCTGCCCGGTTCCTCCCGGCACATCAATGGCGCTGATCCCACCCGCAATATGAGTAATGGAAGCCCCCGGAACAGCTGCAAAGCTTGGCGCCAGCAATGTTGTCTGGGAGGTTACATTATTGAAGTGCCAATAATGAATCAGCTGTTGCGACGAAGCGCGCCCACCGGTGAGCAAGGCCACCAACAGGAACGCAAAAAAGAGTCTGTTTGATTTCATCCTGATAAAGACTTTAGAAACTTACTATTTGAATCCGCGAAACTATCAGCCGGGTGTGTCCTCAAACACACCAAATTGTGACCGAACGGTTACCAAATCATTAACAGAATGTTTCCCGAGTCTTAATAATGAATGCTTCGTCTTTCCAGGCAATTATTT